GGATTTTAATTTAGAAATTAAAATGTTAAATTGACATAGAAAAGCATATTATTAAAGACTGAACTAATCAACAAAAAATATATTTCTAAAGTGTTTTACAAATTCACAAAATTACAATTAATACCTAAAAAATATGTGAAAACACATAAGTTCTAAGAGGTAAGCTAGATGTATATAATGTGAGAAGACGATCAAATACAACATGTTTACAAATCACTTTTCATTGTTCGTACTTAAACATTATGCAATGAAGTTCCAAATATATGATGAAGATGGCGTTAATAATAATTACAGATTAACATCATTTACATGAATTAACCATTTTACTAAAATATTAATGATGTTGAAATTACCAATATAAGAGAAAATATACTAGAAAACAAAAAGAGTACTAAGAAACATTTAGACATCTTAAAACGACACCAAAACTAAAACATTCTAAGTACGAATAAATTAAAAAATATTTGGTTAATTTTTGTACATAATACAATAAAATCTGATTATTACTAAACTCAGTTATTATATATATATATTAATAATTATGAGAGAGTTAAATATACAGATAATACTAACGTTACAGGTAACTCAGGAACACTAACACATCACCCGCTATAAACAACTTGAACTGAATACATACCCAGTATAAACATATCTTCATTGATACTAAAACAATAGTTTGTGCCAATTATATAATATTACATATAAAGAAAGACATGTGTATTAACAATCACAGTAGAACATTATATTCACCTACAGACTCACATACATTAATGTAGAATTATATTATTATATATATATAATTGTTTTGATATATAATATAAAACATTGTTAATGTCTATTGGTTACAGCAGCAGTACATGTTGAGGTGTGGGTGGGTGTCGCTTATACAGCTCGGCTCGTTGTTGTAACTGTAATATGTATAATATATTATTAGTATATTATCTTGTATTATACAGGGTGACTGGTGAATTACTATCGATATTTGAGGACGTGATATTTGACGATCATATATGACATAATAAAAATTAATATAACATAAATATTAATAAACTTCTAAGTAAAGTTAACCAAAAGTTGTGTAATTAATTACGCATCGTGTGAACACCCTACAGATTAGGTATACACACACACTCACACACACGCGGCGGGGGCGTGGTTTTGTATCAGCACGCCGCCGCACGCGTCCACACTTAGAACACTTGGAACGTGTCAACACTTTATTTATTTATACGGAAATTTGGTCAAAAATTAAGTACCTATTTTTTTACATAATTCGAATGAGAATCATGTACCGAGTATGCTCCTTAAATATTGATAGTATTTCACCAGTCACCCTGTATATACATTTTAAAAATAACTGTGTTCGTTACATATAATTTATTGCAATGCAGTATAGACAAAATGATGTAAATAATTCAGCCACTTACGCGTTAGTTCTTGATATATCTCTTGAATTTATCTCAAATCTGTTCTCGTTGATAACATGAGTCACTAATGCTTCGTATTTACCGACACCAGGTCCTACTGAGATCTGAAATTATAAACATATAACTTTCAGCCTTTCAGTCATGTAGTCTTCAACCACCAATGTCTATTACTAGTCATCACTTTAATCATCCATTAAACTTATATAATATGTAAGGACAGTAAAATCAACTAAACTTTATTTAAATTTACTTAACGTTTTTTAAACATATGTTGATGATTTAGTTAGTAACCCATGGACAACCGTGACATAGTTTTGCGGATGTGTTGCCACCCTTGATTGGGGAATAGGAGGAGGAGGCAAAGGTGGGAAAGGGATGGAAAAGGGAAAGGGCAACCGGCTCTCTCGCTCATCGGACGAAACGCAGTCATTAATGACTAATAATACATTTTTTTTATTTCGTCCTATCGGGTGTCATAATGATGCTAATATTTAAAAAGCATGGAAAAAAATATTTAACTTCTTTTCACTCTGTTACCAAACCGTCCAATGAATCCGTCTTGATCGCGAGCCTCCACGAACTTTAATACGCCGCTGTTGGGCCTCGCTCGCATCACCCACGACACTGACCTGGAGATAAACGGATATTATAATATTATTATATTTTCAAATTTGATTAGGTAGAGAGAGGAGCTTGGACGGTGGAGGTGAGCGTTCAATGCGCTTTAGATAGGGGGCCCCTTAAACCTACACCTGGGTCTCGAGTCCTAGATACTCTTGAAGCTTCCCCTCCTGCAACGTGGATGCTCAGAAGTTTCGTCTCTTATAGGATAGTCAAATATAAATACACTACTGTGTATTTATATTTGACTATCCTATAGTCGTAAAAGTAGTCTTCGTAACAAAAGACTTATAAAGTAATAATTCTATCGCATATTTACTGTTTTAAGTAGTGATTAACGCGCGTTGGATAGGGCCCTCTTAAACCTATACCTGGGTTGCAAGACCCAGACACTATTGAAGCTCCTCTCTCTGTAACGCTATGGCCCCGGCACCCTCACGGTGCATCCATTCAATGCTAAGAGGTTTCGTCTCATAATACACAGAACCACTCTCCTTCAAACCCTATAGTTAAGAGAGGACTATATCAATAAGTGTTTCGTTCTCATGTTATATATATATATTTACGGAACGTTTCTCCTCAGTCAAATGATTGATAAAGTCCACGAGCGGCGGCCGTCCTCCTGAACATGACGTCATCGTGCGTCACGTTCTGCCACGACAGACACGAACACCAGTGAGCCTCCACACCCGCCTCGCTACACGATCTGTTCTTTGGTATCTGGAAAAGAACATATTATATATATCGGCGCTACTATATATATATTATATACAGGGTGACTGGTGAATTACTATCGATATTTGAGGACGTGATATTTGACGATCATATATGACAAAATAAAAATTAATATAACATAAATATTAATTAACTTCTAAGTAAAGTTAACCAAAAGTTATGTAATTAATTACGCATCGCACATAGGGGTATTTAGTTAATCTAGCTGGCCAAAAACATTTGTTTAGTTTTTTGAGTTGCTAATGACGGAAATAAAACAAGCGTAATTAAAACGGTTATAAATAATGTTTATTTTTTTATAATTTCCATAAATAGAGAAAAAAACAAAAACCACAATTAAAAAATGTGATTCACATGTCTACATTGATATTATATAATGATGATTAGGGGTCATCCATAAAGTATGTCACACGTAAAGGGGGGAGGGGGGGTCGACAAAGTGTGACATAGTTATATATACTACATTTCCAAATCTATTATATCTAGAGGTAGTTAGCTTGTTGTTAGCACGCGATGCTGGTATAGCCTCAAATGAAGCAATAACAAAAAAATCTCAACTTTGAAGAAAAGTATTGAGCAGGAAAAAATATATTAAAGCGAAAGATTAGCGCAGCGGAAAGACAGAAAAAAGTCATTTAAAATTCGGAACTGCAGTTTTAATTTAATAATTTTTCGATGTGAAATTGCAAAACATGTGATGTCACACTAGGGAGGAGGGGGGTCTCAGAAATGTGACCACCTGTGACAAGGAAGGGAAGGGGGGGTCAAAAAATTATTAAATTCGTGTGACGTACTTTATGGATGGCCCCTTATGACACATATGATTCCATTAATTTTACTTCATAGCTACAAGTATTTATAGATAGTGTGGCATGTCTAGAAATATTTATTATTATTAATTAAATTAATGACTAATCAGTTTATCTCATCCTCACTTTCTGATTTAAGTGCGTGCGCGTCTTCTGGATTTGGTGTTGCAGATACAAGCATATTCAATGTTTCAGGAAGAAAAGAAGACTTCTTATTTTTCTTTATTACCCTTGAGGCACTAAAAAAGGGATCTGAGCTTAAAAGTAGCCTATTCAAAATGTCTCTATTACAGGACTCTCTAGAGAATTTTCGTGAGTAATCCTGTCTGTATGACCTAAAATGCTTGTTGCGTGCCTCTGCTGCTTCTTCAGATAGTTGCCCTATGGGTAACAATGCATTTTTTATTATATCCGATCCGTGCACAAGTACTTTGTGCAGTGTGGGTGTCATTGGGTGCCACGGGTAAAGTTTTACGTACAAGAAAGCAGTTTCTTCTGCATATTTTTCATATTTTTCTAAATTTATTTCGTATCCGCTCGAAATCGTTTCCAAAATCACTTTTAATCTATATATCAACTCGTAATCTATTCCTGTAATATCTGAGGATAGTTTCGGATCTTCAAAAAATCTCCTGCTGGTGTTGCCGTCATTAGTGTTTCCGAAGTTTGCTTTCGGCATGTCAACTAATAAGCCAGTTTCATTGCGGAACCTGGTCTGTATTTCGATTTTCTTATTCATCTCAATTTGTTTTTCCTCCTCTGATTTTCTCTGCCGGTACTTTTTCACAGGCAATTTATACGCTAAGTGTAGAATGCTTTCAAAAAATCGTATTCTCGCATGTAAAATAGAAAGACCGAATTCAGTAGCATCCTTTGAAATTCTCTTTTTGTCCTTTAAATTGTTGAATTCTTTGGAAGTTTTCCCACAAATATAGCAACGACTTGTAGATGTTGTTCCAGTAGCTGCGTTGCAAACCTTTCCATCTACCATTGTCATTACAAATTGGGAATGCACCAAAAACTTTTCTCCGTCAATATCCACCTCAGTCGCAACCAAATTATTAATGGAATTTTTAACATAATTGATCTCTGCATTTGTTACATCAGTTGTCTCTTTGACGAAGCGAAATCTTATTGGACGACAAAATCGGGCAGATGAAGGTGTTGGATTTTCCCATAACACCTTTTGATTGTCCTTACCGCAAATAAGTCGCACAGGTACAAAGCAGCTTTGAAAAATATTTGCATCAGAGTCAGCCTCATTTTGAAGTTTTTGTTTGTACTGTGCTTGTTGGGATCCATCGCAGCCCCATTTACATATCAACTTCAAAGTGTTCCGCTCTTGCTCTTTTATTGTCAATAAGACTTCTTCTAAGAATTCCGATAAGCGCTTAATAATATCAATTAATTAACCGATAATATCAATTAATGGTTGCAGTTGGGTTTCCGCGCAGGTACTCGTTATCGTGATCGTTTCTGGAGGAGGATAACATTTCTTTTTGGCTTCTTGAATTAGGCTATAACACGGGAAAAACTTCTTGTTCGTGTTTCTTATAACTTCATACTGTGCTCGTGTTAAATCTGCATCTATAAACATTTTTAAAGCTTCCATGGGGGTTAGACGCGATGATTTTCCACACTTAGAGGTATCGAAAGCTTTTTTGTACTTCGTTGCACGCGTCGGAGAGCTTGTTATATCTTGGAGAACGCGGGAAGCATCACGTTTTCCCGATTTTCTCAGTTCAACTTGAGCTGCGTGAACTATAACACCATCTTCTACATTGGAGCGGATCTCTTCAGTTTTTCTTCTTTTGCTCCTTTCGCTAGATTCACCAAATGATTTACGAGGGCGACCTTGACGATTTTTAGTTGTGACTGGAATTTCGAAATTGCCTTCCAGCCAAAGATGGTTGTTTGTTAAGAAAACCTCTTCTTTTTTGTGCGATTTAATCCACCTTTGCTTCATTTCTGATTTGAAATGTGAAAAATTGCGTTTCAGTTTATTTAACTGACTTTCACTAAGGTTGTCTTGAGTTAAAAGGTGGTCTCTCAAAAAACATAGCTTTTCTTCTAAATTACGTAAATTTTCATTCTTCATCTTATCGAAGAGTGATTTACGAGTAACTATTCTCACTCCAGAGGAACCCTCTGAACCTAAAACAAAATTTAAACATAAATTACTATTTCACTAATTTCGACTGTAAAAAATCAAAGTACTCTGCTTTAACGTATCTGCGCTATTCCGCGGCTAATTTATATAGGATTCGTTACTTAAGAATCTACTTTTTAAATATGAATGACAAAAAAAGCCGGATCTACCCCGATACTAAAACAAATACATCTTTAAAGATAAAATTTCTTTAAAAAATCTTCTCATTTTAGACATTATTCCTCGGTCACTAAAAATATATGAAACAAAATTAAATTTTATTTATTATATAACATTTAGATTGTCACATACCTGTAGTCTCCGAATCCATTGCTTCTTTGCACCAGGTTAACACAGAAAACTGCAGTTTAGCTCACAATTTTAATGCTTTCTATAAATCGCCGATAACTGACAAATGCACAAAGTTCGATGATCAAATTCCGACTGAGTTTGCCAGATAACGCGCAACGGGAGAGGGGCGGGGACGGCGGCCTATTGTTCGTTGGAGTGTCCCCTGCATTAGGTAGTCGAATGCGGTAGCATTTTTGTAACTTTGTTATTTTGACTTTTGGCCGCGTAGATAATTAAAATACCCGTCTGTGCATCGTATGAACACCCTACAGATTAGGTATACACACACACTCACACATACGCGCGCGGAGGCGTGTGTTGTATCAGCACGCCGCCGTACGCGTCCACACTTGGAACACTTGGAACGTGTACACACTTTATTTATTTATACGGAAATTTGGTCAAAAATTAAGTACCTATTTTTTTTACATAATTCGAATGAGAATCATGTACCGAGTATGCTCCTTAAATATTGATAGTAATTCACCAGTCACCCTGTATATCATGGACCGTACTTGAAGAAGTGACCTTTGTAACGTCAGCGAGGCTGGCGTCCCTCTCTTTTAAAACCACGAATTTGTAATAACTCCGATATCAGAAGTGGGATCGCTCTCGTGATCAGATACTGCCGGTCTTATAAATCCTGATCCAGCTGAAGAAAATAACCATGTGGAGAACTTGCGTGCTGAAGAACGCTAAAAGAATTTTTTTTCATTCCATTCATTGATGTCAATAATGCAGAGCGTGTGCAAACGTTTACTGCAAACAAATCAAGGGATAAGATTAAAATTACTACTAAGATCATCTTAATTTTTATCATCGTTTGACCCCGGTGGTAGTGTGTGTGTTCGGGAATGGTGTCGACACATCTTTACGGTTGAAAATACGTACTAAATCAGGAACCATGATTCTCAAATGAAAATGAAATCTTTAAAAGGAGCGAGCTCGAATGTGTGCAGACAATTGGTTACAACATCTACATAAGAAGCACTAACATAACACACATACACACATAACATTTGTTATTACCCTTGACCTAATCTCGTGTCCATGGTGTATTCTCAAGAGAACCATGAGATTCTGTAGGGAAGCCTTGTGGAGCCGTGAGGAGACAAGTATTACACCATAGATCTGGAGAGCGTGGCCTCTGAGCTAATCACGAGTTACCCTTGAGCTAGCCACGGGTCCTTGATGTATCCGAAAGAGAACCATGAGATTACGTAGGGATGCCTTGTGGAACCGTGAGAAGACAAGTAAACGTCACAGATGTGGAGAGCGTACCTCTGAGCTAATCACGTGTTACCCTTGAGCTGACCACAGGTCCTTGCTGTATCCTTGAGAATACCATGAGATGACGAAGAGCGGCCTTGGGAAACTATGAGTAAATATGAAGTCACTTAATCTATAAGAACTTACATGATTTTGATATCAAACAGCCGGCGCCACGGTTTTATTTAGAATCGACTGTAGACATACCCTTCACAGTAATATTAACAACATGTCGGTTAACACACAACAGTGCCACTAAAAAACAATGTTATAATTCAAATGATAGCATAATTGACTCCAAATTTCTAATCAAATACACCTATTGCGAGTACAGCTAATTTTTTTTCCATTTCAGCTAACCGTGGTCATTTGAATCATGTTGTCGACAGGAAAAGGATATCACTCCGAATTTAAATTTAATATCAACTGGTAAATTTAATCTTAATAAAATGCATGATTTCAGGGGTGCGTTAAACAAGAATCAATGGCAAATAACATCTCCGGGAATAGAAAACAAATCAGACAACTATTTGCGAGGATTGAGGCCGGGCTCTATTATTCCTATAAATAGTTTTATGTGATTACAGGCATCAGCGTACATTTGACAAATTTAGTATCCTTGCCGATGTTATGAACATACGAATTCAATCCGGCTTTAACAGTTTAGATTACAATTTGACAATCCGTCCGTGGATATCGAAGCAACACATTTAAAACAGGATGGTCGAGGCGGAGAGAAGATAAAAATTCTTGATCCTGTCCCATCTACTCTACGAGACGCGCAACTGGTCCAAGAACATAAAGAAAACCAACCAAGAGAGAACATAGAATACTTATATTAAAGACAATGAGATCAAAAACAATACCAGTATTTACAATTAAGTTTTTCTTTTTTTTTTAAAAATGCTTGAATAAAAAATCTTATGAACCCGCATCCGAAACATTGCGTTCAAATTATTTGGCAAACTAAACTATCGTGCTAGGTCGAATTCAAGTATGATTATATGACAATGTTACTGACCGGTTCCAACAGACTGAGTCCCCTGTTCAGATCGGCTCCTTTAACTCTATATGTGTTAGTGAACTGCGTCAGGTCCAGTACATCTAACACCGTAGCGTATATGTCGTGAGGTGTCGTCAATACTTCCACGTTCTCCTTCAGATTCTACTCCGCCTCTGTTCTCCTCTTTTTCAGTTTTTCTGGAAGTCTGATCGCCATGAGCGGTATTTTTTCTTCGAGTTTCCCTTGGAGAGTATCACGAACATTTGCGTACCTTATTTTATGTCAATAACTTTATTTATTGATATTTCTTGGGGATCTCTTTTACAATTCAAGTTTTAATTTTTTCCCAGATATGTAATGTAATGTGACTAAAATTTTATATCAAAGAATGAGGGGAACTATTAAAACACGTATGATACTTTCTTGAAAAAATCTCTAAAACTAACAAAAAGTTAAAATTCAATTCAATACAAGTATAGCGAAAGACAATTGATGAAAATAAATATAATGTTGTTTTTTTATAGGTTATTATTTGCCTTTTGTTTATTTCAATTAATTATAATATTTACCTCGTTCCATGGTCCCCCATGACAATTATCAAGGTGTCCTCTCTACATCGGTCATGGAATCTTGTAAGATACTCCGCAGTGTCTTCATCAGCTATAGATATCACGTTGAAGTCATCATGGGATATGTCAACTATAAACGTGAACGCAAAACGTTTTCCATCAGGCGGAGAAACTGAAAAGAAGACGAATGAAAACATAAAACAGGAAAATAATATTTGACTTATAAAACTAAGCACCGTCAGAATAATTGAGTTATTGTATCAGATAAAATCTAAAACGTATAATTGTAGAAAGTATTTCAATATTCTATATACTTGATTGAAAAATGATGATGCACCAATCAAAAATATGCCCTATTAGATAAAACTTAAAGAATAATTTCCTTGCACCTGATCAGTAATATCCAACATTAGTTTATACTGCGGAGTATCTCCCACGCAGTAATTGTTCAAGCTGCTCGTCCACCATTTCTTACCACCGTTTGACTCCTCCATATAAAACGATAACAAGTAATGATCCGCGGGTTGCTTCTTGAAACCATTGAATCTGTACTGGAATGTTCCTATCCAGGGCGTGTCTTCGAAGAACGCTGTTCGGTAACTGAAATCATACATATTATGCTTACATCAAACAGATCTTTTTGAAAATCCAAAATCATTTAAATTTTTCTCAATAATATCTGTCTTAATTTTTCTTAGTATTAATGTTCATTTTTGAAGTGATTCATGAAGAGTCAATTATTACGTTTAAATAAAGATTAAAAAGACTGACGCTCATAATATTACCCCAAAATTAAGTACACCCCATCCACCAAGTCTCACCCTTCTTCCTCTAGCTTATAGAATATGAAGAGCATGTCGTCCAAGGTTCTGTTGTTCTTCATCTTCTTCCTCACGTCAGGCAGTTCCAACTCCGTCTTCCCTGTGAGGATCGGGAAAAGGGCGGCGGGCGTCCCATCGCCTACTATGTTGTACCTTTGTATATGATATTTTTGAAATTTTCTAATATTACTAGGACTATTGGGGTCGGTATTTAGATTAGAATTCCTCAAGAGAAACATAAAGTAACGAAATGTAAAGTTGTTTACCATTTTAGATTTGGTTTTCTTATAAAATTTCTCATTAAAAAGATGCAGATAAATTTAAGAAAAACAACAAAGAAAATTTACCCCGTAATATGTCATTCAAAATATCATGTTGGTTGTTACATACCATTCAAAATCGTAGCGCCCAATGTTTCCTTTAAAACTTTATAACTCTTCGGCATTTTTCGCATGAATCCGTTTTTGGAGGTGGAGTCGAATCCCAGGATGAGCACGTTCAAGAAGTCACCTCTTCCTTTCGGAGGGAGTTTTGCAAGAACAGTGGAACGGAAGCCAAGAGAGTGGCCGATCCATTTGGAAGGGAGTATACTGGAAAATGGTGAATACAATAGAAACATTATGTTCAGATTTATATTAGTAACAATTATTCAAAACTAGTAAACCCGGCGAACTCCGTTTCGCCACCAGAAGGCTTTTACATAACATTTCGTTTGGTGATTAAAAGATGAAGAATTTTTTTTGTTGTATACTTATTTGAAAAGGAAAATTTTTATTTCATTTCACAACAGTAATGAATTCATTTCGATTACAAAAATGAAGTGTTATTTAGTTGAACTTCTCTAAGTAAATGAAAGTGAATCCAAAGTAGGTACCAAATCGAAGCGTTATACGTGTCTGCAAATTATCCGTTTCATTGAAGTGGTCCTTAGTAAACCACATTTTTTGTTTTTTGGTCTAACTTTAACACAAATAAAGCGTATAGTTTCCAAACTCGTGAACACGCAAAATATGTAAAACAATGATTTCCTAAATTTATCCCGCAAATACTAAATGGTTTTCAGAGTTCAAACTACAAACACAATACCGGTTTGTCACATTAAATTAACTGAGAAGAGAAAAATGAATAGCTGTCAACCAATGTACCTATCATGCGAAGGCACCATCTACTTAAAATATTGATTTGTAGTACGTGTTATGTATGATGGCGCTGTATGTGACAAAAGATTTTCCCCCTTTTCTTGATTTTTTCGTTCTGAAGTTATAGCGTCAGGATGGAAAACCGGACTTATTTTTATACAGTAGATTTCTTAAAAATATCAAATTGTCATCCATACGTCATTACATATCAGTCA